ACTTATGATGAAGTACAATGCATAATATGCATTCACATCATAGATCGTTTATCGAGAAACAAGATCTAGGAGAAGTAGACGTAAGAGTATGGGTAATTATGATTGAGAGTTAAGTGTTGAGGGGACCAAAATAAATGAAAGATGAGAAAATCTAAACTAAAGGGATGAGTTAAGGCTGTCGTTGTTCATTTATAGCATTAGCAGTTTTGCAGACTTATAAATAGAAGGTCGGCTCTGATCATTTTGTATTTATTTCCCTCTTAAAAGATTATGATGCCAACATGTCATTAAACCATCCACTATAGTGGTTCCGTAGACTTTGGGCTTGCCGTAAGTCAAGTATTCCATCTTTGCAATATTGTGTAGAGTATATTTAGATTAGATTTTGATAAGATTGTCTCAATAAAGCTCATCTATTACTTTGAAATAAAATTGAGTGTATGATCGAACCTTGCGAAATTTAATTTGTGAAACACAGGCTTAATATATAACAAATTGCACCACCAACTGAGTATTTTATTGGAAAAATGAGAGCGTTCTAAAAAACTTACAACATTTTAATGCTTAGAGGTCATATTATGGAGCCTTGTTTATTTCATTGAACTTTCAATTGAGCTGATAAAGAAGTTTTATCATAACACCGGGGGATGTCATATTTTTCTCAAAAAACTATTTAATTTGGTCTCAACTTTTTAAGCTATTCAAAACAATCACTAATGATTTTTTTAATAAAAAGGGTTGGCTATATTATTCTTTATCCACGACCATATTCACTTATCTATGCATTCCGGAATTTTATATTTCAATCTTCGGTAACGTTCTTCATTTGGACCAAAACTCGTCTTGAAAAGAAAAGTAAATTTTGTCGTCAAGAAGAAATTAATGAAATGAACAGAAGTAATTAGCCTTAAGAAACGATTATATATATACATGATAGATTGCCAAATTCAAATTAGAAGCCATAGATATTTAGTAGGTAAGAGAGAAACAACGTAGGTGAACGGAGGTCACCTGAATTACAACTTACAAAAGAAATACTTTAATTGGAATGGTTTTATATGCACTCATGATAGATCATCAATTTAAATAACGATACAAGTGATATTAAGTGGGCAAGAGAGAGACGACATAGGTGGACGAACTCACTCGACATCTAAGAAATTGTGATTTGAATGATTCGAAATTTGAGATGCTATGAAGTTGATTCCCCACCACCCATTGTACATGACTTTTCTTTGGGCTTCTGTTGACAGATGGAATGCTATGTCACCACTGTACTGCAGTAGGGGACTAAAAAAATTTACATTTATGAGAAGTCTGATAAGCAGCTCCGGGATTCAATTATTGCAATTTACATTAAAAATCCCACGGTTTGTTTCCGTTCATGGTAGATATCAAGATTTAGTAACATGGATTGTGACAGTTTTTTTTTCTTTTCCCTATTTAAGTATTTTATTGTGCACTATTATGATACGAATTGTGTAAAGGTACTTAGTTTGTTAATTTTACTTAAAGAGAGGGTTCAAAAAATTCACATAACAATTATAGGAACACACTCGACATGATCGACTTTTATTTAGACAATTCATTTTATTGTTTGTTTGGAGAGACCGTCCCTTTTTAAACCACATAACCCACAAATAAAAAATAAAAAATAAAAATAAAAAAACATTTGAGAATTCCAAATTTTGAAGCATTAAGAAACAGGAATAAATGAAAGAAGGGTCATTTTCAGTTAAAACTGATTTGTCCTTTGTTATAGTGGCAACTTCGCCTTTGCAAATGCGAAATTTGTGTTGTGGATTAGGATCTTAAAGAATTCAAAATATCAATCTGTGCGGTCCAAATTTTTTTGGGAAATCAGTCTCTTAGATGTAATTGGGAGGACCAATACACACACAACACACATATATTTACCTAAATACTTCAACAATCAAATTGATTACAACATAATCGAGTAGTGTGCAAATAGAATACGTTGTAAATCCTAGAAGAATTACTTGTAAATCACTGTCTCATGTGTATGTGTACACAACTAATTATAAGAAGGAAAATGTTCAAGGTACATCGAGGTGTCCAACATGGTGTCCAAAATGGACACCCTGCACCTCGACCAATGCCGAGGTGCTGGTGGGCCCCAACGTGGCAGGCACCTCGGTCAATGCCGAGGTGCCGTGTGTCCATTTTGGACACCATGATGGATGTCACAATGTACCCCAAGTATAACCCTTATAAGAATCGGTTCCCATTTGATATTTCCGGTTCATAAGAGCATTCTTATATGTGGCTAAATAAACAATTCATTAGAAAATAAAGTTTATAATTAGAGGTAGGGATCTCTTCTAGCCTTCCATTATTTTAATAGCTTATTTGGGTTGAACGAAGTTTGTTCGACTCAAGAGAGCAGCTTATTGTGGTCTATCCAGAGAGGTATTTGAAATTTTGCTCTTATGAATATAATTACACGTCGAGAAGAAATTTGATTAAATTGAAATTAGCCCATTAATTTTCTAAAGTGACTTTCCTAATATATTGTGGATTGTGTAGTTAGAAATTATATATTCTAGTGGGAATTGCATTTTAAAGCATTCCACTTGCAATTTTGACCGTATGAAATAAAAGTCGTCTTCATGGGATCACTTTTACATCCCTTTCCACACAACTTGGTGTGAAAGATTCCACAAGCCAATTAGCATTTCTTGAGGCCCTTAATTTCTTAACAACCCATGAGTCACAATCCACTCACAACAAAACGTGGCCATCTTTTATTTTGTTAACCAGATATGACACTTACAAATAGATTATATTGTGAGAATTACAAGAAATTGATGGAAATAATTAAAAAATATTGGATGGTGTAAGTTTTCAAAATCCAGAGTTGTAACTAGCAAATTTGCAAAAAGTCTCAAGACAATGATTTCACGTAGTTTTAGTTTCAACAACTACAGCGTGGACTGCGTCTGCATGTGAAAGGGGTCAGATTGGCAGTCTCAATCTATTGTCACATTTCATATATATTTTAAAATTTTCATTTAAGGACATAATTTAGTAGCATGATGACCATCACTTAGATATATTGGAGTGAAATGCAAGTTAGTCCACCATATTTATCTTTTTAGTCTGCCCACGTGTATAATTTAGGGTCCACTAGATATTTTGTGTCAATTCATTAAAGATTTTTCCAAAGGTAAGTTTCAGCCTCCGTTTGAGCCCATTAAATTTCATTATATTACATTTCATTTTTCTTTCTTTTATTTTTAATCACGCAATCTACAATAAAATAATATTACACGTAAATCGAAAAATTTTCCTTCTTTTTCAACGACTCATTTTTCAAAAAATTACTATTCCACCCATTAATTTTTCCACGTAATGGAGGCCAAACAGGAGCTCAAAACTGTGTAAATTTGACGGTATATTAAGCAAGAGGTTTAGATGAATATTTATATTAGATAATATTCTTTGCAAATTTTATCTTATTATTACCTAATTTTATTTACTACTTGTACAGTACATACAGTAGAAGCATGTGTAGTATAGCAACATTGGAGTGGCACGATCCACACCTACGTAGTTTAGTCACCAACTCCCACAAAACCAAGGCGACTCAAGCTTCAGTTGCCACGCGGTTAAGTTTTGGTCTAGGTTGTGCAGGAAATTGGTTGTACAACATAAGCTGCATTATATTTTTACATTGAATTTAACAAAAGACGACAAAAATTTCACATGATTTTCGACCCACTCTATCAAAAATCTTCTCGATGACCACGCTCCAACCACCACAAGGTGGATCACGTTTCGATTGCCAATATGGTCTGAGTTGTGCAAAATACAGGTTGTCGACACAAGTATATCTCTATATTGAGTTCAACATAACAACTGACACGTATTTTCTCACTCACTATGCCAAAAATCTTAGCTGTCACCCCATTCCCACCAACCGAATGCAAAACCAAGCTTAGATAGCCACTTGGTAAGGTCGGGTATAAATTGAATACAGGTTGGACAACACAAGATATATATGTATATCTCTATGTTAAATTAAAAAGTGTAAGATACAAATATTTCATATGCTCTCCAAATCACTCTGCCAAAAATCTTATCTATCACCCAACTCCAACTGACCCAAGAAAATCACGTTTCAGTTGCCACCTAGGTAAAGTTCAATCTGCACTATGCAAATAAAAGGTTGGATGACACAAGTCGCATTATATCTCAGCATCAAACTGAACAAAACAACATATAAATATCTCAATGTTTTCACTCACTCCGTCAAAAAATTTCTTCTACCCCCCCCCCCACGAGCCGACAACCTTGCCACTTCTCATATGCCAGTTTCTTATACATATTAACAAATATGAGCTTAAGGCAGAAAATTACCCCTCTTGTATCATTTATAGTCCATCCTCACAATTAATGAAAACAACAAATGAAGCAATGTCGTTTGCCCATGTAAATTAATAGAAGCCGTTCTCTCACATTTTTCAACCTTAAATACCACGGTCCATAATTGTTTTGAAACGTTGAATTATTGTCCTTCACGCTTTATTTTCGGCACAACATCCATCAATTTAAACGGTTCAATGTCCAATGCGTACCACGAAGATTTAAAAGGAAAAATTGAAGACATTTCTTTAACTTATTTCACACTACGAACTTCGAGTCATCGACTCAGTCAACACGACAACCGCAAATTGCTCCTACTCCTGTGGGACAAAAAGAATGCCACTTTGCATCTACAACATCCATCTAAAATTTAAAAATACTAAACAAATTAAATAAACATTATCTCGAAAATACAAATTTATTTTATTACCAGAAAGGCTATATATAAACTAAATAAAGAAATTTGCTAAAATTCCATTTACTATTATGGAATGGAGATACGAGACGCTGAATATACTAAAAATATTTAATGGGAAATACAAATCAAGCCAGTGGACAAAATTTGCCATCAAGATTGACAAACCGGCGATGTTTAGCTCTGGATTTTTGTTATGTCATATTGCTAGAAGTGTGTCTGCACTAGCAAAGTCGGCCATGTCAACGAAATAGTCATCAACTTCTATTGAATTGAGATCTTGAAATGAACTATTAAAACTAAAATCCCCAAAGTCTGATCCTTGTGAAATGTCCATGAATGCTGGAATGTCATCAAATGCCATGTTGAAATCCTCGGCCAAAATTTGAGCATCGTCGAATAATGTATTTTCTTGAGGTTGGAAATTAAAGAAGTCGTCTAGGAACGGAATGTCCATTGATAAATAGTCATTAGTATAGTCGGGTACCATACCTGTCTCCCCTTCACACTCTTGAACCACCTGAACCGGACCGTGACTTGAATCAGTTTCATTAACCGTTTGGTTCCGGTCCGGTATGCCGACAGGGGCACTCGGTTCAGCATCTTTGCCCACTTCCTGACACGGTTCGGACGCTGATTGTTGATCGGTGTCATTTTCACTCGACTGGCTGGTCCTGTACCGGAGAACAGAAGTCGGAGATAAAAGATTTCGAGACTCATCGCCGGACTCGTAGCCGGAAACTGAAGTATCGATCGTCTCCGGCATATCCTTGGTCGGAGGCGTTACGAAGTTAGTTAAAGCATCCGGCCCGCGGAGTTTTATAGCAGCGTTGTCATAAACCATAGCAGCCTCTTCCGCGGTGTCGTAAGTACCCAACCAGAGCCTGACTCTACGGCTGGGGTCTCTTTTCACTCACTCCGTCAAAAAATTTCTTCTACACCCACCCCCACGAGCCGACAACCTTGCCACTTCTCATATGCCAGTTTCTTATACATATTAACAAATATGAGCTTAAGGCAGAAAATTACCCCTCTTGTATCATTTATAGTCCATCCTCACAATTAATGAAAACAACAAATGAAGCAATGTCGTTTGCCCATGTAAATTAATAGAAGCCGTTCTCTCACATTTTTCAACCTTAAATACCACGGTCCATAATTGTTTTGAAACGTTGAATTATTGTCCTTCACGCTTTATTTTCGGCACAACATCCATCAATTTAAACGGTTCAATGTCCAATGCGTACCACGAAGATTTAAAAGGAAAAATTGAAGACATTTCTTTAACTTATTTCACACTACGAACTTCGAGTCATCGACTCAGTCAACACGACAACCGCAAATTGCTCCTACTCTTGTGGGACAAAAAGAATGCCACTTTGCATCTACAACATCCATCTAAAATTTAAAAATACTAAACAAATTAAATAAACATTATCTCGAAAATACAAATTTATTTTATTACCAGAAAGGCTATATATAAACTAAATAAAGAACTTTGCTAAAATTCCATTTACTATTATGGAATGGAGATACGAGACGCTGAATATACTAAAAATATTTAATGGGAAATACAAATCAAGCCAGTGGACAAAATTTGCCATCAAGATTGACAAACCGGCGATGTTTAGCTCTGGATTTTTGTTATGTCATATTGCTAGAAGTGTGTCTGCACTAGCAAAGTCGGCCATGTCAACGAAATAGTCATCAACTTCTATTGAATTGAGATCTTGAAATGAACTATTAAAACTAAAATCCCCAAAGTCTGATCCTTGTGAAATGTCCATGAATGCTGGAATGTCATCAAATGCCATGTTGAAATCCTCGGCCAAAATTTGAGCATCGTCGAATAATGTATTTTCTTGAGGTTGGAAATTAAAGAAGTCGTCTAGGAACGGAATGTCCATTGATAAATAGTCATTAGTATAGTCGGGTACCATACCTGTCTCCCCTTCACACTCTTGAACCACCTGAACCGGACCGTGACTTGAATCAGTTTCATTAACCGTTTGGTTCCGGTCCGGTATGCCGACAGGGGCACTCGGTTCAGCATCTTTGCCCACTTCCTGACACGGTTCGGACGCTGATTGTTGATCGGTGTCATTTTCACTCGACTGGCTGGTCCTGTACCGGAGAACAGACGTCGGAGATAAAAGATTTCGAGACTCATCGCCGGACTCGTAGCCGGAAACTGAAGTATCGATCGTCTCCGGCATATCCTTGGTCGGAGGCGTTACGAAGTTAGTTAAAGCATCCGGCCCGCGGAGTTTTATAGCAGCGTTGTCATAAACCATAGCAGCCTCTTCCGCGGTGTCGTAAGTACCCAACCAGAGCCTGACTCTACGGCTGGGGTCTCTGATCTCTGCCGCCCATTTACCCCAAGGCCTCTGCCGAACACCCCTGAATTTCCGAACTCCACCATTCGCCGCGGGCTGCGCCACCTCCTTCACCTTCATCGGCTTCGGCTTGGCCTGTAGAACCCCTTCATTTCTCTTCTTACACCTTTCGTTTCCATTAACGGCATTGACAGTGGTTTTGGCAACTGTTTCGATTCTGATTTCGTTGGTGTACTTCTTCACTCGTTGCCTCCTAAAAAGCTGGTCCTCATCGTCACTCGATGAATCAGTTGCGTAGGGATCAGTTACAGAAATCCGAACAGTTCTGGGAAAATTGAAACTTTGTTTTTGTTGGGATAATGAGGATTTTCTGGGCTTTTGGTTTGAGGGTCTAACAACTTTTTGAATGATTTTTGGGTGCTCGGTGTACTTCACCGGCCATAACATACTTTGGTCCATAGCTATGAATTTCAAATCTTCACTCAATTGTTTTCAGAACACTTCCTTCAACAAACATGAACAGAAAAAAGTGAGTATCGATTGAAGAGATGAACGTGAAAACAAAGGAAGATTGCTTTGGGACAACACACGAGTGAGTGATTCAGATTAAAAGATGGCAAACCGTCAAAGAGAAGCTTCAAACACAGAAAGAATCAAAGCCACGCTCTAATAAACAAAATTCTGACAAAAAGATCCAACAACAACGTTAAAAGTTGGGACTCAAAGGGTTACTTTTAAAGGGGCTTATGGGTTTAAAGATGAAGTGTATCGATAGCAAAAAGGAAGACAAATTAATGATCAAAAGCCTTAGATATTGTGTTGAATCCTTGATCCTGTTTACATTAGAATCATCGAAATTTCTATGAAATGTTTTTAAGAAGGGGAGAAAAATGGATGCTTCCTAGAGAAAGAAAGTAGTGTGCTTGTAGTTATGGAGGCTACGGCACAAAAATCGCTGTCTTATAGGATCGCCGAAATTGGTAAACCCAAAACATATGCAGACCATTTATTATTTTATTATTTTCTCCTTTTCATACTTAGAAAAAATAATAAAATAAATCTTAAATTAGATTCCAAAATATCTCAGTATTAGTGGGGCATCTTGCCGGCGGCGAAATGGGGCTAAATATTTCCGGTGAGTATGGACAAGTAACACCGGCTCGCCGCATCTGGCTTTTTCGGGTGTTGACACGTGCCTGCGTGGACCCGTTTTGAATTTTTGGTCCAATGAGTAAGCATCCACTCATGCTGACTCAGTGCATGATTTTTGTTCTTGGAGTACGTGTGGCCGGTCACGAGAGGTCAGGTTAAATTAATTTGGTCAAATTATTAAAGCAATTTGCAACCAATGCTTCTTTGACCTTATTTTTCAGGAAAAGTTTATTAGTTAACAGCTAGTTAAACCGTCCGATTAGTTTTTGTAACATTACCTTAATTAACTTTTAATTAGCTGTTTACCACAATTGTACTGTACTAATTCTACATTATGGTCAAGCCATAATTGATAATACTAATCATTTTTCAACTACAAAAATTTCAATCACGATATTCGATTTATACATCATAAAGTAAATATGTTCATCCAATTTTTCATGGTAGTCAAAGTATAAATCTCTCCGAAATTCGTTGGTAAGATTAATATCGATTGGACCTCAACGGAGATTTTCTTAAAGCACATAAAGAAGTGTATTCGGAAAAATGTTACTCCCTTTTAAATACCGTCAAACAACCTTAATTAAACATTATTTTTAAGAGTTCTGCTTCTGAGCCAGGCTCAGAAACAGGGTAAAAAACAGGGGGCTGAGGTGGCATCACCTTAGCCCCCAGATCCCATACATTTTTTTTTTCCAGATTCGAAGGCCGAGGTTGAAACACCTCGACACCCTGTTATTTGGCCTGGACAATCAGCATTTTCGTATTTTTAATTAAAAAAGAGAAACCGAAAATAAAAGTTTAAATTTTACAGCAAGATGATTTTTTTAGTCTTATAAAAATAACTTTTACAGCTAGATTTAACGTGGCGGGCAACCTAGGATTCGCCGCCATTTATAAATTTACTTTGTACGGCTCTCTGGGTTTTACCTTGTTTTCTAGTAATTACAACTCTCGAGAAAGTGTCTATTCACTTTATTATGTCTCCGTGTAAATCACTCTCTCTACTTTACCCATAAAAGTTCTTTTACCTTTATCACGTGTAGATGGTGCGTGTGGTTTGAGAATTTGGAGACTCCTTCTCCGGTAATTTTGTTCCCAGCAACAATCTATAACCGCACACATTAGCACGTGATGGCTATTCAGTCATTTCAAGAGTCGGTATAATTTAGAACGAGTTAAAGTTAATAAGTTATAAATGTTTTTCAAAATTATGTTTTCACGATATTATTTTTCAAAAAAAAATAAATTCTAACTTAATTTTTGAAAAAGTAGCTTTTAACGTAGTATGATAATTCTAGTGAAGAATTATGAGCCTTAATCATGTGATGATTATTTAGCCGTTACTTTTATATAATTTTTAAACACAATCAAACATTTAAATGGTGAGATAATTCTCGTGACCTTTTGTTAGGTTCTATCTCATAATTAATATTTAGCAATATATTTTGTCGTTTTTCATTGTATTTTAACTAGGATGACATATCAAATGTATGGTTATTGCACCATTAACTCTTATATGAGATCGTTCCAATCTAGTCACATAAAAAATAATAATAATAATAAATATTGACGCCGTTTATTTTCATTCTAAAAAATTTGTTGATGAATGGTTAATGCCACCACTAAGTCATAAATATGTACGCTTGAGTCTAAAATCACAAAATTTAATCTTATGTTAGTGATGATTAATTTCTTTCATCTGAAATTTTGTGCCTAATAATCATTTATTCACCTCTTAAAAGACTCTACAAAGTACTTGTTTTACTCATTTTGGCTATTTGGAAAGTAATACTTCATTTAATTGCAATAATCACATGCACAACTTAGTTTTGCTAATGCGTGGTTAAAATCATTACTCTTAAGAATAAATTATTTCCACCTCTTTCAATATCGTTCAATTTGATTGAGGAAATAGTATATCCAAAAATCATGCATTTCAACAATTTTCAATTAATGTACGCTAACATTAGTGAAGGGCCAACAAAAATATTATTAATTCATCCAATAAGCACTCATTTTCTTTGTTTGTTAAATCTATTAGACAATACTTAGTCGTATTAAAAAGAAAAAGATTCTAAATTTGTGTTTATTGTATTGTTCGATGTGATCTTATTCGAACATATATTTTTCCATTTACCTTGTTGAAGAAGGCATTGATGCCAGATGTGTAGGTCAATCATTGCTTTTGACCTTCAATCTAAACAAAAATAAATAAATAAATAAATAGATAAAATAAATCATTTTGTAGGATAATTATTTTGGCCCATCTTTCGTTTTTTAATGAAACAAATAGGGTTAAAGAAACCAACAAAGCAAAGTGATGTTTTATACTTGTAGAACAATTATGATATGAAAGCTAAAAATAAATTTTATCGAGTAAAAAGAGAGATGTGGGTACTACTTTTCCCTTGTAGCGGGCTTCCATGTACAATTATGGGGACTCTAGATGAAAAAGGCTTATGATTTTATAGTGTTCACCTATTGATAAGAAGTCAAAACAAAATAACTATGAATATCGGGATATGGCAACGTGGAGTTCCACATATATGATTAAAGATGACAAATAAATTATTTAAATTTTTTTTTTATCTTTCTTTCTTTAATCATATTGAGCTCAACATGTCATTCTGGCCAACTATCGTATTTACTTTAACTAAGACTTCAAGTGCATACTCACCATAACATGGATATGAAGCCAAACCATCGATGAGGTTTAGATATTCTATATACAAAATAATCACTTTTTCTTTACAATACTATACTAAAGTTGAAACTAATCTTGTTCATCGCTTAATATTTATGGTCGAGTCGCTTGCCTTTGCCATATTTTTTATTGAATTTTGATCAAGAATAACAAGAAACTAAGGCTGCGGTTGGTTTAGTTTTATGTTTTCCATTTTTGGTTTTAAAACGGTTCTTAGTTTTCTCCGAAAACGTTGCGTTTCGGGCATTTTTCACATTTTGGATATTTATAACTGAAAACGCTCAAAACAATAAAAAATCGTTTTGCATTTTCAATTATAAAATTTACCTCGTTTTTGAAAAAGACAAACCAAATGTGTTTTCCGCATTTTCGAAAACCAAAAACAGCCCGAAACGCCAAATCAACCGCAACCTAACCTTTTTGACCAACAAAGTGAAATTGTAAAATCGTAGGAAACACTAAAAATAAAATTCAGAAGAAATAGAAGCTTTCCATCCCAATAACACTTATCAGATCCCATGTTTTGGAGAGAGAAGGACCATAGCAAAGACAAATCTTATTAATAATATTGTCGTCTCTTGAACTTTGGCCCCATTGAGCCAAGTGAACCCACAAAACAAAAGATAAGAATCATCGAGCTCGAGAAAAATAATGAATTCCGTTCTAAATTTAAGTGATTTTCTAATACTTAATTTTAAGTTTAAGTGATTTTCTCAATTGACAATTATTAAGCATTGTATCAAGTTGTTGTTGTTTTTAATATGAACATGGAGGTTTGCTAAAGCTAGTTTAAGAGTTGAAGGACCAAGTCAATTAGCATCAAATCCTAGACCTTTCTATGATTGTTTACTAATTACACTTGAAATCGTGAAACTAAATTAGACAAGTAATTGTCATCAAGCCCTAGATGTTCTTGATTAGAGTGAAATAACAGCTAATTATACTTGTCATGTTTTTATATCAAGAGGTTTATGTCATGTGTGACGTGTATGGATAAATAGTACGTATGTTCATAGATAATAACTTTTTATAATAACTAATAAATTGTGACTTTTTTTTTTCTTTCCTATTTTGAACCGATTATTTCTACTTTACTTTTAAAAAGAAACTTTACGAAATCTCTACCCCAGTGCACTTCCTAATAGTGTTGAAATTTTGCATCGAAAAAACAAAACTGAATGAAATTTAAACTTTATAAAATTTCAATTTGACTATCATATGCATGGATATGAATCAATGTATGCTATATATTGAAAACCCTGCCTTGACCATAATGTACAACCATAAAAAACAAACTATCGTGTCACTTTTGTTAGTCATGAGAATCTTATATTTATTTATACTTTCTCAATTTTCCATATATTTTCTCAAAAAAAAATAAAAATGGCTGTTTTTCTAAATAACTTCAACAAACCATGCCTCCAAATTGGAAATTTCTTGAGAAAATGAAGATGATAACAATTATTCAATTAAATACAAGATCCGTAAGTTTCTCATTTTGAAATCAGGAAAACCAACGTCTCACATTCTAAAATATCTTAACGAATGAAATAAATAATAATTTTTGAATAAAAATAAAAACCACCGACTTTAATCCCCGTATTTGTCTAATTAATTACAAAAAAAAAAAAAAAAAAGCTCTGTTATGAAAAGAAGGGCCATTATGTAGTAATTTAAAGCTTTATTATGATGGCCACCTTGGTATTAGCAAACCGATACGAAAAAAAAAAATTAAGCTCGCATTTTGATGTCGGCCAATTGAAATTGAAACAAAATTAACAACGACCAATTAATAACTGAATAAACTCACTTATTATACTACATTGAAAGTTGTCTTCAACGATAAATGTGTCGTAAAGCGTCCTGCCTAAGTAACAGATGTTGGTCTCTCTCCCTCTCTCCTGCCAACGGTAACAATAATTGTTACTTGTATTCAAACAGTAAATGTTATTATCGAACAAGATTAACTAAGAAGCAAGGAATTGTAGGTAGTGTATATCGAGGGGGCCAAAAATTTTATTTGCCACGTCATTCTCTCTCGAAGTGCTTTCTAAAATACTTTCACTCAATGATGACAATTACGCTATTTTATTTGTGGTA